GAATTCTGGGAGTTGAAGTCCACCCCTCTTAAAGTGGCCAAGGTTGAGAAACACTGCTCTGATGGAGCAGTTGGCTCCCAGGACACAAGTAGTGGGGACCAGATTCCTTTTGAATGTTTTCCTGTTGCATCCTTCTTTGGAGAAGGCGTTTGGTGTCAGTCCTTGGCACTTCATCCTGCCAGTGTCTTTCAGATGTGCAAGGATTAGAAACCCACCTGCTCAAATATTACCTAGACACCAATGCAGCATTTTAGGGAAGTTTCTGAAATAGGAAACCATCTGCTTTCTGGCTGGGTCTGCATGGGCTGCCTTTGTTCCTGGTCTCAAGTTTAAAGGGCTGGTATTGGCTTTTGAAACCTGCCAGGGTTGCGGACTGGGCAAGAGCTGCCGGGGCCTCCAGATTTCTTGCAAAGGCCGTGCTTAGATGAGACGATTAAGCCAAGAGGTACAAAATTTAAGACTTGGCTGAGTATTAATACCAGAATGGAAATCCTGGGGAAATTTGCCTAGTCCTTCCTCTTCTGATTTACAGGCAGGGGTTAAAAATCTCCCGCTTTTCACCAGTCTTTCAATATTTCTTCCTTTTTGCTTTTAAAGCCTTCAGCCTTTACAGGGTTGTTAAGAAACGATTCTCCGTGATGTTGAGTGAGGTTTATGCCCTAATAACTGTCTTTATGACGTTGGTGTCTTTATTGTGTTAGGTTTATGGCTAGGTTTCATGCATCCCTTTGGGTGTTTAAAAAATGAAATGCTACTTTAAATAATGACAGTAAGAACAATGATAAGATCTGCAATAATTCAGATAATGTGACAATGTTTGAAGAACAGTGTGATTTAAGGAAGGCATCAAGGCCGCTGCGGGTCCCAGACGTCAAGAAGCCTCTTTTTTACATGCATCCCAATGCACGTCAATGCACAATGCTTCAGTTGTATTGGCGTGGCTGCCATCTTGATTCTTTAATCCTCCCTCGCAAATGCCCCTATGAATTAAGAATATATTAAGAAAACAGACCTCTCAAGGAAGAACTTTCCACTTATAATGGATTACAACTGCTGTCATCCCCAAAGAGAATAGCATGAAAGATACTCCTTCTCTTTCCTACTCCCTTTCCCCAAATCTTAGTGGATTTTGGGAACTGCATCCCTCTCACCCTGACAATATTTAAGCCACATTTCTAGGGAAGTTTCCAAAATAGGAAAGCAGAAGATATAGCAGCATCCAGCTGACCTTGGCTGACCTTGAAAAGCTTGGGCCTCGTTATTACTTGGACGGGAGACCACCAGGAACTGCCAAGAGGGTAGGCTAGGCTGGGAAGCATCTCAAAAGAAGCACATCGTAGCAACCACTTCCACATTGTTGCCAAGAAAGCTAGATGGATGTGTCCATCAAGTTACCAGAACTCTAATCCAACTCAGAGACTTTAACTTAAAATACCAGAGGGGGTAAGACAGAAGCAGCCAGTTAGGGAGAGGGGGTACCTTTGCCTGGAGGCTATTAACTTGGCAGCAATGTGGAAGTGGTTTGCTACGATAGCATGCTGGAAGCTGCTGTATCTTACGCTTCCCTATTTCAGAAACTTCCCTAGAAATGCAGAACTTGGCAGATGAAACTATTTCTGACCTAATGAAAGACAAGCCAGGTGATGGGTTCCTGCCTGCCTGCCTGTCTTGCAGGTTGCTGTAAGCGCAGAGGAACAGTGGATGGCCAGTAGAAAAGTCAGCAACTGAAGGGGAAGAAGGGTGGCCCTTTGTGGAGTGCATCCATCTTCCCCTTCCTTTCTCAGAAGTGAGAAAAATACATGGGGAAGCTTGGGAAGGGGGAGGAGGAGGAGAATGATTTGTGATCCAGGTCTTCCTGGAGGGCCTGATATACCCAAATGCAGGGCTCTGCTTTCCCCCCAGGGCCCTTCCAGGCAATTGAAGGCTGCGTCTGATGGTTTCTGCCAATCATGCAGCGTTTCAAAGATGGCACTTTTGCACTGAGGAATGTGCACCAACCAGCCTCTCTAGTCTGCCCCACGCGCTCTGCAAAAGAGCAGGAAACCCACCTCTAATGATGTCCTAATCATTGCTACCTGATCCTAATTTCAGGTATTTGAGGCAGCGATCAATGTAGGGGTGCCCTGATTTTGTCCACTTGCAAAATTAGCATTATGTTTATTTAAATTACACAAAGGACTACAAGATGTAAATGGTGCGTGAGATTTGTTTATCCCCTTTATCTAACCACTTTATCCCCTTTATCTTATCAATGTGATGGAAATGAAGATCAAATATCTGTATGTTGAAATACGTTGAAGAAATCAACAATTTGATCTACTTTTTCACTTGACTGTACTTGATAAGAGCGAAAGCTGGACTGTATTGCCTCAGTCCAGTGTCGCAACTTTATTCAGGGTGTTCAGCTCCCAGTGAAAGCAGGCAAAATGATCTTGGATGGGGTGTGATTTTTCCCCCCAATTGGGTGTGTCGATTTCAGCTGATACCTCCACCCAAATCTTGATGGGAATGTCTGGCTTGGCCTCCAAGCCTCGATGAACAGTTGCGTGCTTTTTTGCAAACATAGGTTTATAAGAGGCAGACGAGGCCAAGCGTAAGAGGGGTGTTCTCAGCAGATGGATATCTGCTGTTTAATAGTCTGCTTGCCCATAAAAATCTGTCCAGGGCAACCGACAGTATTCAAAACTAAAATAAAAAGTGATAGATCATTATGGCTCATTTCCAAAAGCCTGCAATGAAATCAGAGGAGAGCAGATTGGAAGAAGGCAGGGAGCTCAACAAGAGATTACGTTAAAAAACAGGCGAAGGGAACAGTTGGAAAGTCTGAGGGGGGCTGCTGGAGGGAAGTGTCCCCCGACACAGTCAAGACGGTGGCTTGGACTGTGCAATGCGTGTAAAAAAGGGGCAGAGCTTCAGTTGCTCAGTTGCAGCTCCCCTCTGGACTTTCTGGACCCCTCCCTGCAGACGCTCCTGCTGATAGAGGACGATAGAAAACAGTGTTTCTCAACCGACAGTTGAGAATTCTGGGAGTTGAAGTCCGCACGTCTTAAAGTTGCCAAGGTTGAGAAATGCTGTTTTAAAATGTGGTGCTTTGCTTCCTTCC